ATAATTCTCTTTAATCATTCTAACACTTCATTAAGTCTGAAAAAGCCATTGAGCCCTTTGTGGTAGTGCTGTGGTGAAGGAGTGCACAAGGCAATGAAGGAAAATGTGTACACCATCACTGATACTGTCAATGATAATTACTAATACTGCTACCTTTGGAGTAGTGATGCCTGTTGGGCATGTAATTTAACTTCTCGGTGCTCAAGTGCCCTATCTGTAAAATAGAATAGGTCTCATGCTATTGTTGGGAAGAATAAATGAATTGCTATATAGAAAGTATTTAGTACAGTGCCATACACTGAATAAGTATTCTCTAAGTTACTATAATGTTATACTGCCTCTGCTAAATTCTTTCTTCCTTTGCTTTGGGGCAACATTTTACAACAACCACATTGATAAATTGAGATAGTCTCATCTGAGCTTTACTAGCAGGAATATTCAACAAGATCTCCTTGAGAAATCACAGTTGAGGTCATAGTAAGTTCTAAATGTGATTTTTAACTTAAAGCTCAAAATGCATGTCAAGATATTGATACCCTTTGGTACTTGATCAGTTTTTACAACTATTTCAAACACTAATCAATGAATAAAAGACATACAGAAGTCAATGTCACAGTTCTTTGGCAGTATGAAAGAGAACATGTCTTAGGTTCAGTTCCTCAGAAGCAGGCCTAAGACATAGATTCACATGCAAGTAATTTACTAGAAAACTTATCTCAGTAAAAATTAAAAAGGAGAAGCAAGAAGGGGGAAGTAATATAATGTGAGGGAATAAATTAGTAGATATAAGGCAACTGTTCAGAGTTATGGAATTCCAGCTTGCAGTTGAAGTGAAGAACACAAACTTGGAAATTAGGCTGCTTGGTTTTACAAAGAGCCTCCACCATTTACTAGCTGTATATCCTTGGGTGAGTTATTCAACCTGTTTCTGTTTCACTTTTTACCTCTAAAAAATGGTGCCATCTCATAGAGATGTGAGGATAACATCAGATGATACATATGCCTGGCACAGAGTATGTGTTCCAATAATGTTAGTTGGCTTTGGTAATAGTAGTAGAAGCAGCAAGCAAGAAGGTCATGTTAATAGAAGAAATTCTAGTAATTATTAACACTATTATTATTGCTATTATTAAAATATAGTTATGCCTGCTATTATGTTGAAGTAAAGTTATCCTCAACTATAAATTCCTGAAGAAGAGGGTCCAAGTCTTGTTCACCTCTATATGCTCATCATCTAGTACCCCAGTGTACATGATGAATAATGTTGTTAAATAAAATTGACAGGACAAGTTTACTAAATATTAGAGGTGGAAGTGGTGACACTTGGGAGGAAAAGAAAGAAATAAAAAATGATTCTGATATATCAAACAGATAATGCAGCTGACATTAACTAAATACAGGTCACCAATGGCCTCTACTTTGCTGAATCCAATTATCTTAACCACCTCAATCATCTTACTTGCTGTATCAGCATCATTTTATCACCTTCTCCTCCCTGAAGCACTTTCTTCACTTGGATTTGAGAGTACAGCACTCTTGCTTTTCCTCCTACATCACTCTGCTTTACTGGGTCCTCCTGTTCTATCAGAACTCTCACTGCTAGCATACACCAAGGGCTCAGTCTTTGGTCTTCCTTCTATATCCATACTCTCTCAAAATGTGTCTCCAATCCCCATGGTTTTAGATACCACCTACACATTCATGACTCCTAACACATATATATCTCACATACCCCTCTCGCCAAACCTCCAACATTGCTTACTAAAGACCTCCACTTGGATGTCTTAAAGATACCTCAAGTTGAACATGTTCAAAACTTAATTCTAAATATCCGCTCACTTGTTTGGTGCTCTACTGACAGCCTTCCTCATCTCAAATAAATGGAGATCCATTGTTTCAATTCATTGTTTTCTGCCATGGAATTCTCAGTCTCCTCTTAATTACTTATCACCAACATCTCCATTTTTTTTCAAGAATCCCCTTAGGCTTGAACTTCCCAACACTCTGTTTCAAAGAAAGTCAGTTCTTTTTGGTAGGACTCTATTCAGGACTCTCTGTTCTAATGAACTACCTTTTCCTCTGGGAAAAATCTCAGAGCCTGTGATCCGGGCACTGGGTGAGGACAGAGCTTCTAGTCGTTTTGACTTGCCTTTCCAAGCTGGGAACCTCCGCTCACAAATGAGCTGATGCAAGAACAATGGAAGTCCCAGCATTTCCAGCCCACCATCCCCATAGTAGGACCTGCACACCTATGAGTAGGGCTGGGTGGAAGAAGGAAGCCCCAACCTCTCTGCAGCACTCTCCTGCAATTTAGCCTCTGCAACTCAGAGTTGGAGGGGACGAGAAATGCTGGCTGCCTGATCCTCGCAGTGAGATGTTCTATCTCTTGACTGGGAGCTTAGGGGACAGGAAGCCCCATCTTCTTGACCACATCTGCTCAGAATGAAGGAAAGGAGCTGTCTCGGCCCATGCCATAGATTCTTTCACTGTGCTGACTGAGTTTTAATAGATTTCCCTGAATAAATGTTCTTTCATTTGCTGTACAGCCTAGGACAAATTCCAGGAACTTGAGTGGGTTGGCTTTTTAAATCACTTTCACCAGTTATTCTGTTTCACTGAGGAATGGGTCCCAGAAGCTCCTCACACTGCTCTTCCAGAAGTAGGACTCTTCCAAAAGGAACGGATTCATAGAATTTGTCAAAAACACATTTAAAGAATGACATTCAATGATAATAATAATAATAATAATAATAATAATAATAACAACAACAAAGCCATTTAAAGCAAGCTGGTTGATACTCTCTGTTAGAAAATTTCATGTGTCTTCTATTGATTAACCTGCCTGACCACATACCTGAGCTTTCTTCTTCCTCACAAGCTCTCCAGCAATTCAATTTGTTTTCCTTTCTGCATCCATTAGCTTCCACCTGAAACAATGAACTTGATATCTTATTGGATAACCCCCCAAATTTCAGCTCTGCAGGCTCCCCTGGGACCTCAAAGTTTGCAGAGGAATCCCATCCCTCCACAGTAAGAGCTGACACTTTCCATGCCTGGGATGATACTGCAGAAGCATCTTTCCTGCAAAATAAGTGCCTTCATCAGAAGCTACCTTACTATCTCTGCTGACTGCAGGAGTTAACTTGGGTTCAATCTCAAAGGAACCAATCTGGTGATCTGCAGGACCTGATAAAAGTGAAAAGAGATGACACCCAAAAAGATCCACAAGAACCAGTTGATAAGACAGGAGGGGTTGTAATGGTGGCACTAAATCTTCTATTTTGAGATTTGGGCCTCTGGTATCATTTGATTAACAAGTGTAATTTAGCTTGTTGTTTTAGAAAGTTTTCCTCTTTTCTTTGTCTTCCATTCATCTCACCAAACCTTAATAACTCTGTATATTATACATTTACAATGCATATAAGTTTCAATCGTTCTTTGATATGTAGGTGACTGGCCAATTGGCTGTGGATATGCTCCTAAAGCCTGAATAAGGAGTCTTAGAGCAATCACTCTCCTCTCCAAAATGTAAAGTGAGACAGGTTTGAAGAGGTTGGGGTGAGGTAAGGCCAGGACCTCCATAAGAGCCTAGAGAGAACAGAACACCTGCTCTAATCCCACATTCCACTCTAAAGCTCATAATCTGGGCCTTTTAAAGCCTCATGTGAAGGTTTGGCTCTGACTCCGAACTGGAGAATCCAGATTTGGCAATATCCAGCCATACCTAGGAAGGTCCTTAATGGTCTCTTGGTGTTGGGAGTGTGCGTGGGAGTAATGAGTTCTTTCCTTGAGGTGCTCAGTTGCTGTTGCCCTGGTGAGAGTACAAATCCTAGGTATGTAACCGGTTGTGGTGAAATCTGGGCTTTGTATCAGCAAGAGCTGAGGAAGTGCCCCAGGGATTGGATTTTGAGAGTGCTGGATCAAGGGAGCTAGAACATAAGACTGGATATGCAAAAATTCATTTACTTGGAGACATTTTGTAAATATATAAAATTTATTGTTTAGGCAAGGGCCTCAGGGGATTGGACAAACTCAACAGAGTAAGGAGGCTCTTAGAAGCTTAGAAAAATCAAAAGCCCATACTGAGCAGAGTAGAAATACCTGAGGTTCTTAGAAGATAATAAAAGAAAAACTTAAAAGTTGACAGGAGAATGGGGATGCTGGAATGGTTATTTTATGTAAGGCCAGAGGACCCACAGGAGAGTTACATTTCATGGAAAAGCCCAAAGAACACAACATGCACCAAGGCATCAGGAACGTGCCAATGGGAGGGGCACCACATCACTAAGAAGCTCAGTGTCACTCTCCTCTGAAGGCCAGCAGCAGTGATAGGAGCGCTGTGCAGAGCTGGGATCATTAACACATATGGCGATGATGGAGATTTAAAGCTAACAGAAGTAATGTGTGAGCACTGAACCAGCACAAACCAGGAGGCTGCAATTGCCCTAACAACAGCAACAGGGGGACAGCTAAGAGTCCATTATGCACAGGGGGTTGTACAGATGGCTAATAGAATGTGTTCTTGGTAAAGAATGCTACATCTAAATGGATCTGAGCAATGGGTTGTAGAATATAAAGAAACAGTGCAAGAAAATAAAGGCTGCCCAACATTCCTACACTGCTCATACAAGTGCATCCATTCAAGAGGTGAGAGAATGCAGGACTCCCAGGAGTCAACAGCAGGCAGGTAAGTAAGCAGTGTCCCACACCCCTATTAGGAGCTTGGAGAAGAGAATGACACATAGCTGCCAGATGGGCAATTCATTAGTAAGTGACAATTATGAAACAGAAAACTGGAGGAAGAAAACAAGAGAGGTAAAACTGATGATCAGAGCAAGATAGGTTTTTTCCCACGTTGCCTTTGGGGTAGGGGTAAGAAAGGTGGGGTCAAATAAGAAAGCCCAGAGGGCCGGCCAAGTGGCTTGTTGGTTAAGAGTTGGCTTGGGAGCGCAAGTGCTGAGCAGCAGGGCCTCCGGTTCGGATCCTACATGGGCCAGTGACGCTGCGCCCTCTACAGCTAAGATGGTGAACAACAGCTCAACCTGGAGCTGGGCTTCTGTGAGTTGCCAGCGGCGATGGCTAGGCTGCAGCAGGGCTGCAGTGGGCTGCCGTAAGCTACCATGAGTGGCTGGCAGCCAGCGTGA